GTTGTGTGACAATGTCTCTGATGGTAGGGAAGAGTGATGATAGTTAGGGTGGTAATGGGAGAGCATGGAAATTTTTTAACGAGGAATTGTTGAGGTGCTGATAGCAAAGGCAATGCTGGTGGTGATGTTAGAGGGGTACGGTTATAGTGGTGAGGATGGTAAGTTTGATGGTGATAGAAGCGATGATGGTGGTAATGAGCTGGGTTATGTGGCGGTTTTGATAAGTATGATGATGGTGATAATAGAGGCTAGACGGTCAAGTACAATAATAAAACAGATGAAGAAACGTCATCCATTAAGGCATGACAATCTCGTCATTATCAGATTCCTAAAAGGAATAACAATAGCATTTAACTACAATTTTACATGAAACCTTAAACAAAAAAACTAATATTTATGATAGATAACATACGATAAAAGGGCTAGGATCAAAACTAAAAAAAATGTTAGTTTTATATTCAGCGTTGCACCATAATGTTTAACAAATTTAAGAAGTAGCATCTCAATATTATATATATATTTATATATATGTATGTATATATATATATATATATATATATATATATATATATATATATATATATATATATATATATATATATATATATATGCAAACAATCGCAGACAGGGATGGAAATCTTTAGCTCAAGTACTTTCACACCTCTCAGTGCGTCATCAGGAACTATGCAATGTTGCAAGGTAGCAACTGAAACAGGGAAAGTAGCACAGTGCAGGTCTGTTACTAGCCGCAGCTTCTCTCAGAATGTGGGCCAACGGTCGGTGCTACCCCTGCATCACCACTACCCCCCCCCCCCCATATGAGGTAAGAGGGTTTTTGAGATGTCAAGTATTATGAAATTAGAAGATATAATAGCCAGTCCCAAGCTTTTCATAGCCGCCTCTCTTATATTTTACATATATACCCGACACTCAAAAGGAAGCATAGGTACATATATTATCCTGAGACAAACTATTCCAGGGGAGCTCGATCAGTCATTATGGATGGCAGTGATAGGACAACATTATCATCTTTGTTGCTATGATTAGCAGCTGTGAGAGCCTGGTCATTTTATGGTGAAAAAGCATATTTGCTTCTTTTGCACAATGCAGCTCCCATAACACCTCCCAACACCACCCTCAACACCTCCCAACACCTGCCAGCACCACTCTCAACACCTCTCAACACCCTCAACACTTCCCAACACCACCCTCAGCACCTCCCGTCACTCACTGTCCACCAATCACTCTCCCTCGATTATATTTCCTGGGACTGAATTTTTCTTCACTACTTTCAACATTTTTTAACTTGCAGAGATTTTTTTCTGGTTTCAATTTCGAGAGCTAGGCACACTCGCGCCCCCTACCCCCTTCCCCTCCAGGCAATAGTTACACCAGTTGTTTTACTTTTTTTTGTGCAACGTAAATCATTTACAGTATCAAGTAAATGTTATATATATATATATATATATATATATATATATATATATATATATATATATATATATATATATATATATATATATATATATATATACTGGAACCTCGGTACTCGAACTTAATTCATTCCAGAAGTCTCCTTTACCCCCTCCAACCTTTCATAGGAGGACCCAAACCCCGCATTCCTTCCACTATGGATTTATACGCCTTCCAAGGCATTCTATTTTCCTGCATCCTCGCTAAATATCCCAACCGCCTCAACAACCCCTCTCTGCCCTCTGAGTAATGCATTTAAAACCCTGCATCTCCTCCTGATCTCCAAGCTACTGATTCTCTGCATTATATTCATACTGCACATTGGCCTTAGACACATCTCCACTGCCTCCAGCCTTCTCCTTGTTGCAACATTCACCACCCATGCCTTACACCCATATAAGAGCGTTGATACCACTATGCTCTCATACACTCCCCTCTTTGCTTCCATGGATAATATTCTTTGTCTCTACAGACTCCTCAGTGCTACACTCACCTTTTTCACCTGATCAGTTCTATGATTCACCTCGTCTTTCATAAACCCATCTGCTGACATGTTCACTCCCAAATACCTGCATGCATTCACTTCCTCCATATTCTCTCCCTCCAATACAACATAAGAGAGAATGAAGTACAGTTCAAAAGAGAGAATGAAATACACCTCAAGAGAGGAAATACACCTCAATAGAGGGAAGTACATCTCAAGAAAGAGGTACACAAACAAGAGAGAAGGGAATCCAGACTCAGTTACTTAACCGTAAGTATCCCCAGCTGCCGTGAAAATAAACAGGTCATAAAGAAACTAGTAATCAACGGAATGGCGTAAGGGCATCATAATTCTCTAGATTTTATTAACTTGGTCTAGGAGGTGAACTTAGCATAATGAGTCTCGTCCGAACCAACGCTATTATGTCTGCACTAGAAGAAGTGCCATTATCGTAAAATTAATAAGGGCAATTGGAACATTAAAACACAAGTCGCAAAAGTAAAAGCTAGCTAGGGATTCCCAGAAGCTATAATGTTCATTACCTTCGGGGTTATGAGCTAGTACCTCTTGAGGTGAGGAAGATTTTCAGAGTTGACCTCAACACTATATTCATCATTCTCTCATTAAATACGATGTATTTGTTCTCTTCATCCCATTCATCTTATTATTATTATAATCAAAAAGAAGCGCTAAGCCACAAGGGCTATACAGCGATCCCTTTCATCATTTTCCATTATATGTCTCCTCGCTGTTACAACACTACGTGTTTGCTAGTAGTGAATACAAGTCACGATACCATGGCTGTAGGAGCGAATACAAGTCGCAATACCATGGCTGGAACAATTTACAGCTAACCCACAATACCGTGACTGGAATTAAGAGCTACTGTTTCATGCAGAGTATGTAATCTTTATTCAGAGCATGTTAACACACAGGCTGCCTCACAAACCAGCAAACCAGATGCTATGGGTCTGACGATCGGGGCCCCATCGTCAGATCACTATCTAGGTTCAGCCAATTATTATTATAATCAAGGGGGAAGCGCTAAACCCGGAGGATTATACAGCGCCTGGGGGGGATGTGGAAGGCATTCAGGCTTAATTCGGGGAACTGGAGTACAGATCAAATTCCCTAAATCAAGAGCCCCTCACCAACATCAAGGACCCTTCCTTGAGGGGTTTCAGCCAATGAAAAGGTGGATCTGGCAATTGTGAAGGTGACGTGGTTACCACTCACGTTATCACCCTTGTTATTTCCATTAGAGAGCTGGTTGAAGCACGGTGGTCTGCATTCCATGGGCTTCAATTGCCTTGATTACTGTGGCGTGCACTAATACCTATTGCTGTACATAGTGTAGTGTACATACTTTTGTTTATACTTAAAGGATAATATAATTCAAAGCTTTGTGTATTTAATTTTCTCCCTTTACATCCAGGTTAACAGGCCTTTGAGTACCTGAGTTGTAATAAGGAACCTCCCTTACGAGGCATAACATGGAAAATGACCATTGTCAAACTATCTGCACATCCATCGTTAGAGGTACCTGGCTGCTATACCTGCTGCCTTCTTGCCTAGCAGTGAAATATATTCATGGGGGGTGGGGTGAGTAGGTTAAACTCACAGTAATCAAACAGCACCTGTTAAAACTGGAGGCTATCAGGTTCGATCCAAGAAAGGTCAGGTGCAATTTCTTGAATCGAAGTTACCATTACCAGCGTCGAAGAAGCTTCCCGTGGAAACCTGGCAGTAAATCGATACTTGGGATATTTAACTGTTGTGTCCCATACTAAGAGAAGTTACGCAAATTTTTAAGTGGCATCGTTTCAATGTAGTCGTGGTTAATGTAAATCGTTTTATGTAGGGTAAAGCGCCAAACCTGTTGAAGGCATACAATACCATGGGACTGGGAGACAATCAGGTTCGATAGAAGCGAAGCAAGTACCAATAAGATGTAAAAAGTAGGAGAGGGGTGTAAGGATGTGTGACAGGAAGTTGGAGGCAAGTGTAAAATTTACAAGTTGGTACAACTGGTCAGTGATAAAAAAAAATGTCTGCGTTAAATGTGGAACTTGGAGTGAGGTCAATATGCTGGGACGATCGAGACGTCGGAAGTGATACTGAGTCATCATCTCATCGGTACTGTACAGCAGTGAGTCAAGTTTTATGACACAACACCATGTAACCTTGGTACAGTGGATATCTACTTCGCCTTATAGGACTGACCTACTTCCATTAATTGGCCCCACCCACAAGTGACAATGTCTTCAACTGCTGCACCTCTCCTCTAACTTCAGTATACAGGTCTCCATTCTCATGTCTCTAAATTAAATTGAAAAAAAAAAAATATATATATATATATATAATATATTCCAGGTGTTGCACACTTGTCAAATAATCATTAGTACAGAAGGCATAAAATTATAAATGGTGAAATAACAAATATATAATTAACTCAATGCATGTGAGGAACTCCTGATCCAAGGAATTGGAGCTTCATTGGGATCGAGACTAATTGCCTGCAAATCCCTTTGTACTATAAGACTGGAGTTTAGTTGTTTCCTTGTGATTAATGAAAAAAGTGAAACAACCAGTTAGCAACATGTGTCAAACTAACTAAAAGTAGTGGTAGATGCATATACTACCACTAGACTGCACTACTTGAGAACATTTCACAAACTTCTCTCACTGAAAATAGATCATTTACATTATCGTACCACTGAATCAATAATGTAAATAACTGTTGCATGTTGGCCATGAAATAGAATTGTATTATTCAAGCAGGTGCTTAACAATAAAATATTAAGAAATTATAACAATGCTATTTCATGTTCACTGGCCCACCGCGGTGAGGTCTGCAACAAACGGGCCAGACCAGGGTGACTCGTACAAAGGCAATGCCTTCATTCATGGAACCCTAAACCATGAACCAAACAAGAAAAACTAATTACTTGTTTGAGTACTTCGGTATTTTTAGTGGCAGCAAGCTACCACTAAAAATGGATATTTTTAGTGGCAGCGAGGCTGCCACTAAAAATGGGTGGGTTTACATTTTTAGTGACAGCAAGCTGCCACTAAAAATGGGTGGGTATTTTTAGTGGTAGCAAGCTACCACTAAAAATGTTATTTTTAGTGGCAGCAAGCTACCACTAAAAATGATTCATCAACAGCAAGTTCCTCTGATTCAGTGTTTTTAATGGAAGCTAGGCTGCCAATAAAAACCAATTATCAAAAGCAAGCTGATGATGAGAGAAGAGAGAAGAAAAGAGTTGTCAAGTGGACATAATCCACTGAGTTTGTTCACTATATGGCTATGTGAACAAGAGTCCACTGCCTGAAACTGTTATGATCCAACAAGTGGAAATATGAAGCAAGTAATTTGCTTTAGTTTTATATGTATTTTTAAAGCCATTTTAATGACTGAACCTTCGAGAGGTTCCTAGGTGCTGATGAGCGGCTCTTAATTAAACCTATCTTCACCTCTTTGGATCAAACCTGATTGCTCCCGTTTCCTTAAGCGCTGTATAATTCCTATGGGTTTAGTACTTCCATAAAAATATTTTAATAACTTGGGTTAATATTAAGTGTACTCCACTAAATGCCGTTCTTTAAAGGAACTACTACTATTTTCGAAGACTGAGCAGAACCCTAGACAGAGTCCAACTTCCATATTGTATGAAACCAGTTATTTTCCTCGAGTAGAACTGTCGCATCTATTACTCCGTTGACAAAACCTATACATTAGCCTTTACTAAGTGAAAATGTGAAGTGGAGTAGCACCATTTTCAAGAAAGAGTTAATCAACTCTCAAGTTGAAAGAAAAAAGTCGTTTTCCTTGAGTAGGACTGTGGTGCACACAAATTCTTCTAACAAAACTTGTACAGTCTTTTACTAAATGCAAGTGTGAACAGAGTCCAACTCGCTCGTTGGGGGAAAAACAGCCATTTTATTGCGGTATCACTTGGGAATGAGTTAATTCCCACGATGAAGACCATATACTCAAGAGAAGTACTTTATGAGAACATAAGACAGCACTGCTGCAGGCCTACTGACCCAAGTTAGACAAGTCCAACGGAAATCTACACATGTAATTATCTGATCTTTTTTTCAAAGCTACACAAGGTTGTAGTTTCAATAACGCTACTAGGTAGTTTGTTCATCTCATCCACAACTATCACCAAACCAGTGCTTTCCATATCCTTTCTCTATTTTTTTCCAACTTGAACCTTTCCTTTAAGTCAACTTAGACTGCTTCCCATTCCTCCAATTGCTGTACGACTCCTATGGGTTCAGCGCTCCTAGGAATGTAACTTTTTTTAAAAACAACGGCCGTCTTCCGTCGTTAGGGTGTCACGAAAGAGGAAACACTTCCGCCATCACTCTAATCACTGTCTTGTCAGAGGCGCACCGATACTATAGTTCAGATATCTTTCCAAAGTACAAACATCCCCATCTCTCCATCAGAGTGCAGGCACTCTGCTTCCCACCTCCAGAACTCAAGTCCGGCTAGACAGTTTCTCTACATCCCTTCATGTTACCTTGCCCACACTCCAACAGCACGTAGTTATAAAAACTAATTGACTCCACTCAGTATCTACCACGCTCGCACACCCCTGCTGAATATCCAAGCCAATCGCTTTAAAACCTCCTTTACCCCTCCCTCGAACCTATCCACTAGATTTATACACCCTCCGAGCCATCCTATTTTCGCTTTAAATCTCCAACTACCTCAAGTCTCTCGATAATACTTTTAGTAACCCCTCACTTTCTCCTATTCTCCACACTACAAATTTTCTGCATATTTACACGACACAGTGCCCTCAGATATATCTCCACTGACTCCAGCCTCTTCCGTGCTGTAAAATACACAACCATGCTTCATATTCATATAAAGGTGTTGGGTACCATTATTCTCTCAAATATTAACCTTTTTGGCACTATGATTAACGTTCTTTGTCGCCACACTTGTTGGAATGTAGCACCCACCTTTTTTTTTCTCATCAATTCCACGGTTCACCTCGTTAACTCCACTCCCAAATATCACAAAGCACTCACTTCTCCATACTCTGCATATTAAAAGGGAATATTGCCTTCTGATAATATTCCCACTGTCTCCAGCCTCTTCTCAGCTGCAAAATTTACAGCCTAAGCTTCGCAACCATATAAGTGTTGTAATAATTATTAACCAAACATTTCCCTTTTTGCCTCCATGTATAACTTGTCTCCACAGATGCCAAAACACACCACCTACCTTTTTCCCCTTCATCAATTCTATGGTTCATCTAGTCTTCATAGATCTATACGCCGATAAGTCCATTCCCAAATGAGAACACATTCACTTCCTCCATACTCGGCATATTGACATGACTCACTGCCCTCAGCTAGGATATCTCCACTACCTTCAGCCTCTTTGTCGCCACAAATGGCGGAACGCATCATCCATTCTACCCCCCACCCCACCCCTTATCAATTGTGCTTCACTTCGTCTTTAATCGACCAATCCGCTGACAAGTCCACTCCCAAATGTCAGAAAGCATTCACTTCTTCCATATTCTGCATATTAACGGGACACATTGTCCTCAGATCATAACTTGTCTCCAGCCTCATCCTCACCGCAAAATTCACAGCCTATGCTTCGCATCCATATAAGTGTTGGTAGAACTATTAACTAAACATTCCCCTTTTTGCCTGTCTCCACAGATGCCAGATTGCTTCACCCACCTCTTCTCTCTTCATCAATTCTATGGTTCACCTCATTTTTTGTAGACATCCGTCGATATGTCTACTCCTAAATATCTGAAAACATTTACTTCCTCCATACTCGAAATATTTAGAAGACACACTGCTCTCAGGTATTTCCACGGCCACAACCATCTTCCTCGATGCAAAATTCACATTCTATGCTTCACACCTATATAAATGATGGTACCACTATTCTCTAAAGCTTCTCTTTTGCCTCTATGCATAACGTGGTCTCCACAGATGCCTCAATGCACTACGCACCTTTTCCCCCTCATGAATTCTATGGTTCACCTCGGCCTTCAGACCCATCTGCTGACAAGTCCATTCCCAAATAGGAACACAGACACTTCCTCCATAATATCTCAAGTCTCTTCCGAGCTGCAAATTTCACAGCCTATACTTTGCCCCCATATTAGTGAGTTGGTACAACTATTAACTAAACATTCCCCTTTTTGCCTCCATGTATAACGTGCTGTCTCCACAGATGCCGGAACACACCACCTATCTTTTTTTCCCTTCATCAATTCTATGGTTCACCTAGTCTTCATAGACATATCTGCCGATATATCCACTTCAAACTATCTGAAAACATTTACTTCCTCCATACTCTGCATATTTACAGGACACACTACCCTCAGATATCTACTCGGCCTCCAGCCACTTCCTTGTTGCAAAATTCACAACCTATGTTGTACACCTATATAAATGTTGGTACCACTATCCTCTTAAAACTTCTCTTTTGCCTCCATGCATAACGTGCTCTGTCGCCATAGATGCCTCAACGCATCACCTAATGCCTTCAATCTATATACCTGACAGCCTTTCTACTAATGATCACCTAACATTTTTATTACCATCCTTTAATTTCTTTACGTCCATACTACTTAAACCTTCCCATCTACAATATTCGTTTTAAATTTCACTGTCGTATATCACCTAATACATAACTTTCCTTTCAGTTCTCACTCTACTGCTTTGAAACACCAACGCCCTCCATACAGAACTTGCCCAAACATTCTACAAGTGAACTATAATCAACAACTCCATGGTTTGTTATATATTTTACACATCAATTCCTTAACTCTAATGCCATTCTGTTACAGGCAATGAAACTTACAACAACTTTTCAAGAATTTTCTTAAGGATTGCCACAACAGACAAGCCTCGAGTAACAGCCTAATATAAACAGCATATTTAATTGCTCCCATATATTCTACCTTTGCTTTCAGTATCGCAAAATGTAATTAAATGGTGAGCAATACTTACAATAAAAAGTCGTCTTACATATCGCGCTGCGGCCCAAAGTTCATTCTGTTAAGCATTTTTGTCCCTTAAGGAATCCATAGCAGATATTTTTGCTCACTGGCATTGATGGTCAACAAGAAGCACGGTGTTGAGAAGTGGTTAATGGATGTCTGAAAACGTAATTTATTTTTAAACTAGTAATTCATACTAATTCATCTAATGATCAATTCTGAAAATTAATCAAATTAAGCTGACAATACATTTGTCCAAGGTTAAACAAATTATACTGCTCGTAATAGTTTATCATAGACGGAAATGCTCAAGAATGTTAGTATACCTAAATATCATTTGAATATTAGAACTAACAAATTCAGTACTGTAAAAAAAAGTAGACTGAAACAAACATTGTGAAAACTGATAATGCTGATAAAAGAAAAACTTACTTGGATTAAAGCTGATACAATGAGATTCATGTATACAAGCTGCAAGGAAAAAAAGGTTACTAGCCTGTAATACAATAGTTGCAACTTTCTAAAAGTTAATACTGAAGGGAAAAAAATAAGCTGAAAAAATTACCAGATTATTTAAGGTTGTAGTAACATTTACATAAAAAAATGGTTATACACCAGAAACAAAACTGGAACCAACAAATTATGCTTTATATTAAAATTATTTAACATTTAATAATAAAACAATATTAAGATGCTGTATACTAGTAGTATTCAGAATGTAATAATAAAAGGCTGAAAGAAAAATGTGTTAGGCTGAAAGAAAAATGGGTTAGGCTGAAAGAAAAATGTTAGGCTGAAAGAAAACTGGATTAAGCCGAAAGAAAACTGTATTAACTGAAAGAAAAATGAATTAGTCTGAAAGAAAAATGAATTAGGCTGAAAGAACGGACTAAGGTCAAAAAAATGAATTAAGCTGAAAGAAAAATTAATTAAGCTGAAAGAAAAACGGATTAGGCTGAAAGAAAAATGGATTAAAGCTGAAAGAAAAAAATGTTTACCCAAAATAAAGACATGTTTAGCTGAAAGGGAAAATATTTATAAGGACTGA